ATTTGAGCGTGCTAATATTATTTATTTTTATAAATTATTGTCATGCCATGCCGTGAAAACGATCACGATCGGAAACAATTTCATTTTTTTTGTCATGTTCATTGACAATATGTATGTCGGGCATTTTAATACTACATATACAGGGTGCCCCTAAAAAAAATATACACTGCTTAACACATTACACATTTTAGATTCGTTTGAAATGTCTTTATTAATTATATGTGAATAAAAACTGAAGTTATGATCATTAAAACTGTGTATACATTGGTTTGGGTCACCATATATATATGTTACATATTATTAAACAAAAGTGGCTATAAAATGGAATAACCATAGCATGGGTTAAATTTAGGGAAATTATGGTCATGAGCAGAATTTAATAATCCCGTGAATTTATGATCACTGCATTGAACGATTCTCGAGGATTCGGCAGAACCTAATCAAATATTGGGTGTGTAGTCTCTACCTACAGCATTCCACCTCAATATGCACCCCAATATAATATTGTCTTTCTATCTCAACCCATTAATAATCGCCATCCAACCGAATTATCATCCCAACAATACCTAAATAGAATGCGTATATTTTATCCGCTCAATGTCAATTCAATTTCGTACATAACAGTTTGCAATATTGATTATGGAATACATACTACTTTTCTCGATTAATTCGATGTCTTTGTTTAAATTGTACCACTACTAATTGTCCTACAGAAACTAATACAATCGGACATCAGTTACAGACACAAAATAACTCTATATTGTGTAATAACCAGTGGCAATTGGTGGCGCAGCAAATGTGACACACACGGTTCCACGACAAATTTACGATTATCGTAAATTTATAAAAAAAAAATCTTTTCAGTTGACTTCATGTTAATATTTGAATTAACACATTCAGACTGGGAGGGAACAATTAGAAATAAAGTTTAGAAAAATCTATTAGTTGTTACGGAAAATGTCGGAATATCAATGGAAAATATATTACTAATATACCAAGCAATACTGAAACCAATTATGAGGTGCACCCAGCATATCGAACATTCAAATTATCAAAAGGTTGCAATTAAAATGCTTAAAAAATATCATAGGGCGACTAATAGCCGAATGGTTAAGTCGCTCTAACCACGATCGCATCAATATACTACTGAAGTTAACCTACAACACGGCAGCCAACCAACAAATTAATAAAAATCAAATCATCATAATGGTAACCATCCACCGGGAAAGATTATCCATTTAATGTCAACCGCGATCTTAAATTTACTCAATTCACATTGATGAACAGATTGTGAATAAAATTATACGACATAAAAAAAAGAAATATCATCAGGACGTGCTTTTTTTAATAAACCTTTGTCGGAGAAAGTGTAGAATATTAATATTGAAAAAAAAGAAGAGTTAAACCCTTTTGGGGTGATGCTGCTAGATATAGGCTATGTACAACCATCCAGCGATGATGATTCTTCAAGTAAAAATTAAAATGTCGCATTTACAAAAAATATAGATGATCCGTTTACTACAGAAGATATAAAATCAAATGACGAAAATGAAGAAGAATTAGATTTTACTAAAAAAAAATATGAACTATGAAACAAAATATTCTACAAGAAAAACAAAGAACTGTATTATGTAATATAATAATAATAATAATAATAATCAAGTTTATTGACCAAGAGAATACAAAGAAAACAAAATAAAATAAATAACAAACAAAACGGAAATGGATGTTGTTTTCAAATAATTTCCCACAAGTCTATTGATAATTTAAAGTGGAGATTTAATGATATATTACAAAGTGCTCTAAAACTTAATTTTTACATATATAATCGAATATTATTGTCAGAAATTCCCACAAATGGGCTTCTTTTAAAAGTCGTTTTTAAACACAAATACATTGACTGCCGAATTTATGATTGTATTGAAAAAAAAACATAATAACTGGGAATTATTTCCCGGAAACGAAATAATCCGGAAAATTTTATCTGCTTATTATCCACTTCTTAGTACGAATAAATATTAAATATTTACATGTATAAATATCAAATGAATGATTATATATTAAATGTACTAATAATAACTAGTTAATACATCCAAAGATAACATTTGTATGATCGTACACATTATTGTATCTATTTCACATTTTTTTCGGAATTTGTTTAGGCAATACTTGTATTTTGATATGTCAATTGTATAAACCAATATTATGTTACCTATTTCAATAAGTGGATGATATTCCTTTATCATATATTCAAAAGGAAATACGACACCCTAGTAGGCGTTAGCCTAATACGCCAAAATTGTGCATGTAATACGAGAACGTTTGAGACCCAGTTACTTTAATTAGACTCATATCTACAGTTTGTTTTTATTGTATATACATTAACCAATTCAGTGTAAAATAATAATTCGTTAAAAAAAAAATGAATTATCTGTTAATTGAGTTTACTTCCGATAAAACAATCAGAAAACAATTAAATTTTGTAATTAGAAATATAGAAATATTATATAAATACTAAATATCTATATATAATTCAACAGAAATTTAACGCAAGATTTACGTCATAAATCTGGAAGAAGCTTGAAACAAGGGTAGGGGAAGGATGTTGTAACGTTAGAGCGGAGCGTCTCGACTCCTTGGTGCTGTGGATGAATCCTTAGCTCTTTCCGCTTCCGTTTGAAGTGAATGTAAACAACGAAGCTTTGGCAAAATGTAGAACGACTTTTAAGAGACGCCCATTTATGGGATTTACCGTCTCTCCGCAGAGGCTAATTCAATAGGCGAAGTAAAACAATTGCTGAGGGTAGACGAGCATGAAAATCTAATATTTTAAATCAGAAAAACGAAATATTACTTCGTAATACGAATTTTAATCTCCACTTCAATCGACGGTTTAATTTCGTTAATGAGCTGCCCGTTTAATTTTTAATTAACATCACTTTTTTTCCTCCTACTCCCTTTTAACGTTCCCTAAGCAACAGGATGAAAAACTAACATAAAACGCACTTAGATGTTTTGTTGCAGTCGCGCTCCATTTATTTTAATATATACAAATTCAATTACTGCTGCTGCAACGGATAATTTGAACGCCCCGAACAACGCCTGTTGTAATGAGGGTACTCCACCCTCGCGTTTCTTTTATTTTGCTGCTCGTGCCATTATGTCCTTTATCTTTTCCGTTACTTTAGCTGATGTAATTGCATTCTAATTGGAAACTTAAGGTAATTGCGAACGATGCTCATAATAAAGGTTTTAGATTGCTATGGGATAATTTATTGCGGATAGGTGGAATCTACTTTTGCGTGCAATTGTACTTTGAAAAAAAAAAAACGGCTGGCACCAACAGATCTTTGAAATAATTCGCGTGCTGCACGCAACGAGTATACTGTCCATCTGGTGTCGCCGAAACTCCTCGAGCAGTAAACTTTCCAAGTGAAAGATGAGAAAATGGATGTTAGCAATTCCACAAACCTATTTTTACGCTCGTTGCATTACTGCATTTTCACTCAAGACATTTTAATAAATTTTCAAATATATTTTGCTACCACTAAGTTTCATGTTCAGTTCCAATATAGAATTATATTAATTTGAGAAAATAAATATCTTAACGACGTTGATGTCCTAATTCATTTGTGTTATCATCATAAGCTTATATAGAAAGAACATAATTGCAATTGGTTTCTTTATGAGTAAAATTGAATTTTGCATTAGAATAATAAAATTAAAGGAATTAAATTAAGTTTTACCTCAAAAAAATTCTTTCTATTTCATTCTTACTCTCGCAGTACCAAGTAAGTTTGTAAGGGCTCTATTCAAGCACTACGGGATATATTAATACTGAATATCTACACAACTTAAAGTATACTTGCATAATTTATGAGTTCAATTTACCGCTTACAAATTTATATTAACTCGAAAGTACTATGGAATAATTTTGGTTTCTCATGTACCAAGAATGGGGAAAATTAGTAATTATGATATGCAGTATGCATCATATTAAAACTCAATAATTTGATCCACATGGAGTACTTGTGGTTTTTTATTTGTCCCTACGGGTTAATTCTAAATTATTTTGAATACAAAATATAGCAATATATTTTTTTTTTTCAATATTTGTTTTATTAGAACCGTGAATTTGTGTTGTTACGACAAAATAGGGCGCGAGCTTAACGTATTTACGGTTCATTGACCACAAAAGGTTTCCCAAGCTCTAATCTGTACTTGGCTTACCTTGGAAGCTAATACGACGACATGCTTTATATATTTGGCTTTTTACTTCCATGCTCTTTCTTAATGATGGTAATCTCTTGCACGGAAATGTGTTTTCTTTTCATTTTCTTGGTATATTTTTGTTTAAATATTCATCATCCTTATTTACTAATTATTAACTCACAAATTATCATAAAAATATACTACAATATATATTAATAATAGTAATTCGATCATATTTTCCACAATTTTACTAATAATTTTAATTATCATGTCTAAGTTCCAAAAGCAACCTATTAATGTCTATTGTTTTCTTTTTATATATTACATGTAAATTTGTAGAAGTCATGTTTATTAACAACTATATTGTAATGATATCAAAACATTTAAGTATGCATGAATATTGAACCGCAAAGCGATATACTATGTTAATCGTATAATAATGATTGTAGTAAAAAGCTAAAAGCACATTTCTAAACAAACAAATCAATTATTTACATCACGTCAAAAAAAATCGTTGTGAATATTTTTTTTACTTTTAATGTAAAATTAGACTAAAAGTTACAAATCAACATAGCTTATTCTTGAGTTGTTGTAAGTTATAAAGTAAAGTATTGCAAACGATTTTATTAGCGTCGTTGGGTGCGCCGTAAAATCGATTAAAGGCAATAAAAGTTAAATTGTTCGAGGGCGATAAAAATTGTCACAGCGAATGAATAAAGAAGAGCGGAAAAAAGAAGAGAAAAGACATAAATCGCGGCGAAAGACCAGCGTCAGTATTAGTGGCTCACCGTTTGTGGTATGTCCGAGGACGAATGTACTCGTGGGAAAGACGAGGAGCACGAACACAATCAAACACTTCCAGGATCGTCCCTTCGCTGGCGAATGCAAATCCATTCTCCTTTCGCGTAGCTTCAATTGAAACCCATTCCACCTAAATCCATTCCCATTGAATCATCTCCGCAAGAAAAAAAAGATTTTTCACCTGCAAAAAAGGAAATATATTTATATAGAGAGAAAGGAATATATGTTATAGCCTTTTTTTTTGCTTCAATAAATCAGTAAAGGTTATGCGATTATTACGTTCCGTTATTAATAGATTGATTTATTCAGTGGTGAACTTTCGATTTTTGCTGGCGATTCGAATTGAATCACCACAACAATTTTTTGAAATTTGTATTATATTATATTAAATATTATGTTATAGTAGAATGGATTTGGTGGAAATACGACATTATCCCAAAAACAACTGAGATTTTAAATTTGCCACCATTTATTTCGCGGTAAAACCAGAATAGAGATTTTTATATTTTGTCATTAGTAAATAAACAACGAACGAACAACGCGTTAAAATCAGAAAAAATCACTTAAAGAATATTTTAAATTTGAATTATTCTGTTCAGTTCTAAACAAACAAAAAAACAGGGTCCATCCTCGTACAACTCGTTCGAATGAAATCATAGCCAGTGTTTCTCAAAATCCTTCAAATTCACGCTTTTTGTCGAAATATTTGCTTTTATTCTCTTACAAGGTTCAGTGGTCAATGATATTCATGTGGAAGACACTGCTAATGAAACCACAACATCGTCCAAATTTCCCAGAAATTATGTTAACGAGTTATGGAAAATTTCATTAGAAGAATGAATATGTGCTGCCAATTGTCAGATGTTTTGTATCAAACATAACATCCATGTCTCTACTTTCAAATAAAGTAAAAATATTATCAATTATCAAATTACAAAAAAAATTAAATATCAGTTCACTTTGGGACACCCTTTAGAAACTTTTTATATTGCGTTTAGTGCAACAGTCATACAAAAAATAAAAAGTAAACAACTGACAACTTTTTTTGCTTGTATATTTATTTCTTGTTTAAAAAAAAATTATAAATGAAATTGGTATATAAATGCAAGTGCTTGTGCAAAGATTGAACTATAATTGACTCAGTGATTGACAGTTCTGGGATATCTTATAAATAAAATAGTCCATAGAGCTTCTCACAACGAAAAAGTAATGCGAATGGCAAAATAAAGTAGTTTCATATGTACACATAGGAAAGTAGTATGTAACTGACTTCCGGACCGAACAAAACATCTCGTCTATTATTAAAGCTTATACGTATGAAGTCTGCAGACTCCTGGCTCTTAAAATTTTGAACGCTCTCAGAGTAATAGCATCTTGCTTTTATGTGCTGGTGTGTGCATATCTCGCGCATTTATAAATTTTACAACACAACTCATTTGGTGTGATGAAAAATTGAAAAATAATAAAACATAACCCATTTCTTTCTAATTATTTTTGTAATAAATTCCTGTGATACAAAAAATCGATAAGTGCGTTTGTATTAGATGATGAATTTGTGAAAGGGTTGCTAATTAATAATAAATGAAATGTCCAATTATTAACATAACAAATATAACATTTGGTTTAACTAAATTACTTAATTTCTACCAAAATATATTTACTTCCTGATGTTACCATCCCCTAACTTAATGTAATTAATACCATTATTCTACATGAATAACCATTCGTTACACGCTCGACCTTTCGTAGCATCGTTACTCGCGTGGCGTCTGAGAAACTTCGTTAAATATAACGCATAAAAAATAGGCAATTAAATTATGCTTTTGCGAATACATTTTCATATTGAATATTGACTTTCCTAGAGATTTCTGCTTAATGAAATAATATTTTTTATAATTGTGTAAAAGCGACTAAATAAAAATTGAATAATTAGTAGTCATGATTGATTCAGTCTAGAAATGACTAGAAGAGTTAAAGATCTGATCACATTTGTACAGACAAACATAAAAATATTGTTTTCCTAGCTATATTTATTCAGGTATATGTTTTTTAGTATAAATAATAAATATTTTGATTTTGCTATTTTCGCATTGCCTTAATAATGCAACTCTATTTTGCAGCTACAAACGGTATAAATATTTTAAAAAATGTAGAGACAGAAAGAGATAATCCTATTTTACTTAGTAGCCATTTGACTATATTTAATTAATTATATAGATTTTTGTTGTTAGAATTTAATCAATTCTTTTTCTATTAATTATTATTAAAAAAAATACTTTTGCATTATTATTTATTAATGTAATTAATAATAATGCATAATTATATGAGTTTATTAATATGGATAACAAAAAAAAAAACATAATTGACAACTTTGGTTTGAGTTACCGTGACTTTAATTTATAGATTTTGTTCGAAAAAGTTGCAATAAAACCGTTGCTGTGACATATTATTACTGAACATTCAATGAAAACAACCAATAATTTATGGAACATAATTATTTATATGTTTAAACCTTAAATAAATTCCAAATCAACTTGCAACTAAAATAAATTTGATCATTAATAAATACAAATTTCTTGAGACATGCAAAAAAAAATACATTTTTTAAATTTATTATTTCTTATATACATTTATTTTCTTGCGTGTTATGTAAAAGAACATTTCTAATTTGTGCTCCTTTATTTTCGAAATATTTCAAAATTTTGAAAAGTTTTAAAAATATAATATCCACTATATTATATTTATAAATCTTTGCTTAGCGACTATTTCGCTTAACGAGCAAAACAAACTTTTCGCATAACGTATAATGAGAAGAGGAATCCTGGATTGTAGCCTGCTACATTATTTTCTAAACTTGTGTTCAGACATATTATGTGAATTTTTTTGTGTAAAGTTTAAAAAAAACCTACAAAATGTCCTCGTTTATTCTCGTTAAGCGAGGTTTCACTGTATTTGACTTTAATGTAATCCAAATGAAATTCACAACTATATTTATTTTGTTTTAGTTATACACTTTTGTTATTTACCATTTGTATGAAATTATACTATTTCTTCAGTTTAATTAATTATTATTTTAATATTAAAATATATAATTCTGGTCAATAGCTTTATAATTATTCATAACTATAAAAATAATGCGTTATGTGTATGTAAATTATAGGTAAACCAATTAAATGTAACAATTGGACGTTCGATAAGTAATTTTAGCTGGTCTGATTGGCGTTTGGATTTGCGGTTTGCTCCGTAACCTCAGGAATACATTTCGTTAATTTCCTGCATGTGACAATTATCTGAATAAGAATTATAGAATTTGTAAAGATGAAAAAAACACTTACTCAAAATAATAGGTTTTAATCCAATTAAGCAAATCGAAGTATGAGAGAAAGCACTTGCAAAATGTTGTCTCTGAATCACACAGATGCACGCAGATAATAGATTACTCTAATTTACATGTAATATTTATATTTGAATTATTAATACGACTTATTGATGCTTTTCGAGCGTATCTTCGGTATTTCACTCTGCGAGGAACGCGACGAAAACCGCACTGAGTTCGCTCGGCGGCGGCCCGCGAGCCGCCCCCCGAGTGACTCATGCGCCCTACCGCCTCCGCAAGCCTCCAATATTTCGCAGGAAAATAATAAAATTTGCAGGAGGCTTCGTTTCCGCAACGCATCGTCGAAAAGCAGATTTTTCTAAATTGAACCTTGAACTTCATGCTTATTTCTACTGCAGGGACGAAATTAACTTACCGTTCAAAAAAAATATCCGCATTTTCTAAATTATTGGAAAATAAATTCGCATCCTCGCAGAAATGCGTCATCCCAATAACTCAATCCTCCTAATCAAATCCTATACTTAAAAATACAAATATTTGTTTATTCTCTTGATCTGTGTGTCGGCTATAAAAGATGATGTTTATTTATTTGAAAAATAAATGTTCAATATATAGTTGAATTAATCTCAGTCTAGTTTATTGGTCTCTCTAGTGTTCTTCAAACTTTTAATACCCTTACTTGCTTACTACGTTGTATATAATTTCCGGTTGACAGCAGCATCATTTAATAGTTCTTTTAAAAGTGGAAATATTTCTCCATCTTCCTCTTGTGCACTGTACCACACGAAGCAAAGCATGGTTAGTTACGTCAATTAATTCATCATGTTGAATCTGTAACTTTATGGTGCAGAAAGAGGTATATCCTCTAGTTTTTAATGGCTAGACGACTTGTACTATAATAAGATGCAAGGCTTAGTTAACGGTTGTTTTTAACTATTTGAAGAATTGTACACTCATTTTTTTTTTGGATATATTGGAAGTCACCATGTATGTATCCATGTTTGCCGCGATGTGAAAAAATTTGGAAAACACTTCTCTACATAATATTATTATTATTTTATTTCATATACTTTATATGCACCATTGATTTTCAAATCAAAGATACAACAATGACAATATATAATCCTATAAAATTTTGCTATTATTTTCTATTTGATATACCGAATAGTCTACTATAATATTACATCAATAACAAAAATAGATCTATGTATTAAGTAAATATAAATGAGGTAGAAGAATATAAGAAGAAATTCTGCGGAACGACATAAGCTCAGATGTGATGTAAGGATTAGAATGAAAGATTGAGTGTACGTTTTTCCGCTTGATCGCGCGACATGAATGAAAAAAAAAATGCGAACCCCTCGAAATCCAGCTCATTTCTCTATTTTTACACTTATTATATTTTTATATTGGCTGACCCAATTCCGTTTATTGATATAAGATGTGAGGGAGGTCAAAAATGGATAAACACAATATATACTCCGCAGAGTAAAGAACAATCTTCAATTTTTTAAATCATTATGAAACTGAAATTAGATTTCGGAGCGCACGTGAATCGTAATCAAATATGCAATTAAACAGAGTGCTCAAAAACCGCTGTTTTGCGCATTTCGTTCCAACTTTCGTTTTGTTTTCTATGAAACTGAAGTGTTTAAAACTTTCAGTTGAGGACAATACGTTTCGGATCGTGAAAAGTAATAGGAAATATTCCAATGCCGAGTAGGGTATAGGATGAATTATTTCTTAACTACTACGGACAACTAAATAAAACATGTTCTACCTATGGGTAAAATGGGTTTTTTCTTGCACAGATACTTACATGATATTTTCAATCAGATTTCGGTAAATCTTTTGTTTAGACATTCATTCATGATTATCTGACTTATATGATTATAGACAAATAAAACTCTTAAATAATAATATTAAAATGTTAACATATATGCACATTCCTTATATTAGTTGAAATGTTTCATGTTGATTTCAAATGATTTTCTATGGAGAAATTAATATCATATATTTACAACCATATTAAGTAATAATGATAAAAGTAAACAAGTGCATTAAGAACATAACAGAAATATGTTTGCTATAGTGTATTTTTTAGATATTTCAATTTTTTTTATTGATATTCAAATTTATATATTTATTAAATATTAAAGAGTTGTTTGATAGTTGCAGAGCAGAAATTATGAATTATTTATTTCTTAAGAAAACTTGTATTTCAAAGTTTCCAGTAGTAGCTGCTATTGTCGTCCTGGGATGACAAAACGCTGTATACGAAATTCATGAAAGATATGAATGCACTATACATCATACCCAGCCATATAGGGAACTTTAATACTTTAGAAATACGAATAAAATAGTATGGTTTGTTCATCCTTTCAAAACGAGGGACATTTAAATACTTCGTACAGCAATAAGATGACTCGAAAACTTGATATTTCCACTTACCTGCACGAATACAGAGGCACGCAGAAGGCTAAAGAAAGTTTTCAACGTCGAAGAAAATAGCAAATTACAGCACAAAATAAATTCATCAACAGTGAACGACAGGTGTACTAGTAAACTGGCAGCCTTCGTACAATGCATGAAACATTGATCGCGTTTTGGTTATCACGTATAACAATAACATATATAAATGTATTGATTGCGTTGGTTGTACACCTCAGAATTCTATGCTCGCCCTCGTTCACAAACTCACGAAGGAATTGAAATCTGAAGGCAACGAGTGGGAGTTTACAATCGGAATTGGTGGCATCGGCAACTTAGCGTTTATCCCTTAAGAGATCCCACATCCATCCATCCATTCGGTCGACCCTAGTGACTAAAGCACGTATGAATTTTAATCAAGTGGCCAGCGAACCGGATTTGTTTTTGCCTGTCTGATTAAATTTCGACAGCCTACCCTTTCACGGAATTGCTCCTCCCTTAATCCTGAGAATCCAAGCGATGGATTCACGTAATCCGAAACAACAACAACAAAAAAAGAGTACCGATGATATTCACTAATATCCACTCTGCTCAAATTAACCTTATTAGTAAAATTAATACATCCTAAATTAAATAGCAAAATCTCTTAAAATACACCTCTGAATCATACCATGAGAATAACTATATTAAACAAACGGAGATACTTAAAATTGTGGAACAGATGTAGTAAAAACGAGAAACTCATCTTAAAAATTATGTATTTGTTTACTTTTTTTTCAATCCTCGAACATGATTATCAATTTCATATGTAAACATAATGTTAAGATAAAGAAATATATCACATATATGTTATAGGTGATCCGTTAACGAACAGTTCGTATAGTCTTTTGACGGATTATGTTCGTTAAATCACGATTATGTGATTATTACTAAGATTCATTATTCTTTCATCTATTGCAAATAATTTTATGAACCTTATATGAACATAGGACGAAAACAGAACGGCTTAGTATAATACCTTTTATCATGGTTATATAAAGGGTGTCCCAAAATGAACTGATTTTTTTTAAACAACATATTTTTAATTGATAATCTCTTTTTACGAAATTTTTCATATCATGTGGACATAATTGCTGAGAAATTTAGGCAATTTTGTGTCACATTTCATCTTTAAAGTGTTCAATGGTTTGTAGTTTATTGATGAACATTAAGATAACTCGAAAGAAAGAAGTCTAATTTATACTTTTTTTGTTTATAACAGTACTCGTTGATTCTAATTTATAAGAGTAGGAGCATTACAATGAGCAAACCAGGTACGGCATCTGCGAACAGTTTCAGGAAAATTTTCACCAATTTTTATGTGATTTATTATAATTTATACTCGTTTTTCGATCAATTTTTACTCAATGTTTACCAATAACAGTATATAAAACACCTCTAATCTAGTTTTACCGAGAAAAATGACGACACATTTAAAATGTCAGTTTTCTTTTGAACGTTATGTTGGTTGGTTGGTCTATGTTAGTGGTAATGGACAATTTAACTATTAGGAAACTGAATCCTTACTTCCATTTAAGACATCAAATGGAAGTAAGGATTCAGTTACTACGAACACCAACTTCAATAAATGTATTCCATTAATCTGTTTACTTACACGATGTTTTGTAAGTATACAATTATTATATAATCAATAGGCAACTTACGATAAGCTAGTTTATATTCGTATGAATTTCGTTTGACAATGTTGAAAACTAAAGTATATTATATTAATTGATAAAAAAACGCATATAAAGGTAATATTTGAAAATTCAGCATTCCAACTCGGTGGGAATAGACGAAGCAGTGTGTATATTCAACTTTAGTTCCATTTTATCTGATTCAATTAAAACGTCAAAACTAAGATAGATTGTGTTTGCATTTGCTTCGCCTCCGCCTCCGCGACTGGCAAAATGCAAATAAAACTCTTCGTTGCGAAACCACCTACATTTTCACCTCTCTCCCTTTCCCCAGTCGACATTCTTTTTTTTACTCTCCTTCTCTCTTACTCTACTTTAATTTTGCGTTTTCCATTTTCTTCGCGTCTTTTTCTAAGCCAACGCTTATAAAATAGAAATCAGAAAAGCAATAAATCGAAAATCTAATTTTGGATTAGAACACTTTATTGATATACTATATAATTCCTTATTGAGAGTAGTCATATTACATATCTCATGGGAAAATGTGTTCAATAGATCCATTATAAAATTTACATTATTATATTAGTAATATTTCAATTGCATTTTAAAGTTTATGTAAAATTTAATTTCTGTAATTTAAATGCATTCAAAAAGATTTATGATACTGTTTCATTATTGATGCTTTGCGAATATATCCTCCTCTAGACCGCAAAAGGTAAAAGGGTATTAATAATATGGTTATGATGTTATATTTTTATATAAGTTACCTAGACACGAGTTTACAATTACAAATACAATTTTTTCTGTATACGATTTCATTTTGTTTATGATATTTTCATTTTTGAATGAAACGAAACTCAAAGATATTATTTACAAAATGAAATTGTATCAATTGGATCAATGTACAATTGGACACTCATATTTTTATCAAATTTCTATAACTATGTGTACGTTTTTAAATCCTGGTTAATTTAATATTGATGTGCTATTATAGTATGACCCTTTTAAGAGGATTTTTATTGTTGAAACTTTATTTTTTTTTTGCCTCTATGTAGTGTTTACGCTGTCGATAACTTGCAGATTATTGATGGCCTAAATTTAAGCATCTAAATACGC